ATATCTCCAAGCAGCACGAAACGACACAAAATGATTCAAGAATGGCTACATCCTAAAGCGACGTAGCACTACTCAAAAGTGACATCGCCTAGCTCCGAAGTGGTGCACAGTAAATCCATGTTGTTCAGAATCAAGTGACACTTGCCAGTGAGGATACAATCTCGCAAGACATGGGGTCGGAAGGATGGCCTCGAAGTAGACAAATCACCCACCAAAAATATCAACGGATGCCAGTAAACACATGGGGAGTCGACTCCCTATGGAACGTATAAAAATCACCCCCAAGTAGATGTTGGGGGACATGACTCACTATCTACAAAAATTGACTTAAGCTTTGGAGGGGTAAGCCGAAACCCTCCTCTCCAGCCTTGACCTATTGTGCAATGACTTAGGACCAAAACCCCCTCACAGATTCGTCGAACACCCTAGGAGACGGCAACCACAACTTTTCATCCCTTCTCCGTGAAGCCTTCCTACTGAGTAACCACCCGGATGACCTTATAGAATCGGGACCGAACCAAGTCATGCAACTTCTCAAGCCATGCCATAAAAACTCACAACAAAGATAATAAAAATATGTTAAGTAATTTTTTTATAAAAAAATCCTAAGTTTGTATTATTTCCTATAGAGTATTTCTTTTTTGCTTTATTCCTACATAATACCCTTCCTAATCATTTTTACTATTTTAATTTTGGTCTTTGCCTTGTTGTAGTGGTTTTAGCCATGCCTTGGCCATCTATGCCTTATCGTGTTGCATGTCATCATGTCCATCTTTATTACCTTTCTAGAATCACCCTCATGACGATACTATTGTTACACCAACCTTCGTTCTATTATAATAACATTCCCAACTACAAATAACCTCCACAACGTCGACCCCTGAGACCTCCCTCCATCGACTTGTCCCCATCTATGCCTCCCATTTGGGGAGGGAGATCTCGTTGTGCATCTACCCTCACACCGCCTAGGTAGGCGGATACAGCTCATCGCACTGGTTGACTGCACAAGGTTGCAAGCGACATCGATAAGTAGGAGAGAGGAGGTCGTGAAGACTACGATGGATGTGACGTGGAGGTGTTTGGTGGTGATCACAAGGGAGGTGATAATGATACTAAGGGGGCAAAGTGACAGGTGAAATCGCATGACAAAGCCTAGTTAAAAAAAAAAATAGGAGCCTTCTAAGATGCTCCTTCACTCGTTTTTCATACTGACGACAACATACTTGTCGAATCAACTGTCCTTTTTATTTATTTTATTTATTTATTTATTTATTTTATTTGAGGAAAGATGAACGCATACGGTGTTTGCACATGTGAAGGCCCCGTGTTCAAGTGCCCACAAAACAGAGCACAACATAAAGTAGAAGGTATGATCCCACATAAGCACATGTTTCTCCCCGTTTCACGGTGCTGCCGACAAAGACTCTCGTTTGTAGTGCTTTCAACCTTTGTTTCTCTTTATTGATTGCTATTGTCGCGTTACACGTACCATTGTGAAGATTTATCTCTATCCCATATAGAAAGAAAGAAGACATGATTTATTTGATTTGATATAATTTTATTTTTTTATTTCTCTTTTATATTTAAACCACTAAACGAGCTAAATAAATGGATCTACAAATTATGTTATTTTTCTTCTCCATTGTATATATGATTGGTTGATGTCACTTTTTTTCTTCTTTTTTTTTGTAGTAGGAATGCTTTCAAAGATAATTGACTTCCTTGTATCACTCTTTTTTTTTTCTCTTATATCTTTCAATTATTATCCTCCTTTTTTAGAGATAATAGAAGGGTTAATTATAGATTACCCAATGTATTTAGACCGTATTAGTATCATATTTTTTGTACTTAAAAAATTTATATTGGGATCCCTATTAATTCTATAAATTAAACAAATAACTCATTTGCCCTAACGTCATCATCAATTATTTTGATGAAAAACATAATACGTGACACCACGTGTTAGAGCGGTATGAAAGTGATGGCGAAAAATATAATTTTAATATCCCTTCTGTTTTAAGCGATGAGTAGTTTGGTGAGTGTGCCATGGAGAGGAGCTGGGTAGAGTTGGATGACTAAAGTTGACCTTTGTGAAGGAGGTGATGATGAGGCCAACGAAAGCGAAGACTCCTATGAAGCAATATAGGCCGATAGTGAGAAACACAAGGAATGCATCTTCATGGGAGCCTCCGCTAATTGAACGCAATCATTCAAAGGCTCAATGTTACCTTCGCCCAAAGGTCAATGATGAGGAATGCATCGACGGTGAGAGGCGCATGATGGTTTCTCACGTGAGTTGGATCGATTCAATGAGGAACTGGTCCAATTGATTGAGCCCAAGTCTGACTCAATTTTGAGTTAGTTCCCACTTAACCAAAAAGATGGAAGAAAAAAAAGGAGATAAGACCTTATTCCCTTTCCCTTATCCCCCTCTCAAGCTCTCATTCCCTTGCACTTTTTTTACTCCTCGCTCTCTCCAGTCCCCTAGGGCAGGCGACAAGCGGTGATAGTGTGTCGCAAGTGGCGGCGTCGGTTGCAAGATCACAGCATGAAACACTCTTGAGTGCAATAGTGCACTATGTGAACACGATCGAGCGATTGGTGCATGACAATTTTTCACATGAGTCGAAATATAAAAGTTGCTGCATTCCTAACCGTTAGCCTCTAAAGGCAGTGATGACATTGAGCATCTCGATGGCAATCACCCTCACTGCACTAAGTAACATGGCAAGTATAGCTCCCCTTCTTCATATCGTTGACCATCCAATCTTGCTCCTCTTCATGACGGACGACATACTCACCAAACTATTTATTATTAGAAATGAAAGGGATATTAAAATTATCTTTTTATCTACCACCTTTACACCGATCTTGATATCACGTGTTCTTTGTCAATACAGTTGATGATATTATTATAAATAAGATTATTTATTTTATTTTCAGAATTATATGGATCTTAATATAAATTTTTAAGTATAAAATTTACTATACTATTAGTGTTCGTTCTAATATAGTATGTAATTAGCTCGACAATAAACGGATTAAATTAGAGGACGCACGCTATTGGTAAGTGCCACTCGCTTCCGTGATGCATCGATTAAGGAAGCTACTTGGAACTCGTGACCTCGGTCTGTTGCTTGTTTTGCAAGCAGTCTTCGCCGATCCCTTGTGCTCGCCGCACAACGAAGGCAGGCAGCCATGGAGAGCAGCATCGCCGGTCGTCGGGACCTCCACTTTGTTCTGATCCCATGGCTGGGCACGAGCCACACGATTCCCATGATCGACATCGGCCGCTTGCTTGCGGAGCGCGGCGGCGTCACGGTCACCATCGTGATGACGCCAGCCAATGCCGCCCAGCTCAAACCGACCATCGATCACATCGCCACCTCTGGCCTCCCCATCCGCTTCGTCTTCCTCCCCTTCCCCTCCGTGGAGGTGGGCCTACCGGAGGGCTGCGAGAGCATGGACAGCCTGCCTGCCTTCGACATGATGCCGAACCTCTACGACGGATCCAAGCTTCTGCGGCAGCCATTGGAGGAGCTGCTCCGTGAGCAGGCGCTTGCCCCGAGCTGCATCATCTGTGGTGCCTACTACCCGTGGACTCCGGCGGTTGCTCGTGAGCTCGGCATTCCATGCTTCGTCTTCCACGGCTTTGGCTCCTTCGCACTCTTTTGCATGCACAACCTCTACCGTTACAGGCCCCATGAGCGCGCGTCGTCGCCGACCGAGCCCTTCCTGCTCCCGGGCTTGCCATTTCAGTTCGAGATCGCCAGGCAACAACTACCAGTTCATTTCCAGTTGTTGCCTCATTTCATGGAGATGTGCAACGAAGTACGAGAGGGCGAACTCGCCATGGACGGTGTCCTCGTCAACAGTTTCGACGACCTGGAGCCAGGATATGCCGAGCGCTTAGCGGCGGCCTCGGGGAAGAAGGTGTGCACCATCGGACCGGTGTCGCTGTGTTATAGATCAGGGAGGTTGGACATGGCTGATAGGGGTAAGAAGCTGTCGGTGGATGCGAGCCGGTGCTTAGATTGGCTTGATTCGATGAAGCCACGGTCCGTGATCTACGTCAGTTTCGGTAGCTTGGGCAGCCTTGCGTCTGAGCAACTGATGGAGCTGGGATACGGTCTGCTCGCCTCGAACAGACCCTTCATCTGGGCCATCAACGGCGTTGAAGCAGTGGAGGAATGGATGCAAGAGAAGCTTGAGAAAGGGGGAGTTGACCCAAAGTTTCTCTTGATTCTGGGGTGGGCGCCGCAGGTGATGATCCTGTCGCACCCGGCGGTGGGTGGTTTCTTGACGCACTGCGGGTGGAACTCGACGCTGGAGAGCGCGAGTGCGGGCGTGCCGATGGCGACATGGCCGCTCTTCGCGGAGCAATTCCTCAACCAGAAGTTGATCGTGGATGCGGTCGGGATCGGAGTCGCGGTCGGCGTCAAGACATCCATGCGGCGGCCGGAACAAGCGGCGGAAGAGGGATCCGCGGTCAAGAGGGAGGTGATTGCGGAGGTTGTGGAGCGGTTAATGGACGGAAGGGAGGAGGGAGAGGAGAGGAGGAGGAGAGCCAAAGAATTCGCCGCGAAGGCAAGCAAAACTGTGGCGACGGGCGGTTCTTCCTATGATAACATGACACGGTTGATCCAACTCGTAGCAACACAAAGGAGTAGGAGATGAATCACCCAACTTGTTTCCCTTCGCTAGTAATGTAGTCTTGTGTGGGGTATTACACGTACTCTTTGCCTCAGTAATCCTTGTTCTTGGCTAACATTACAGTCTCTCTTCAATGGATTGAAGTATGCAGTATCAATCGCATTTGGTTCATGTCCATTTCATTTCGTGTATGCTGTGGACCTGCATTCACCACATAATCCTGAACTCCCGATGGTTTTCACATATCATCATCCACACTTCTTCAGATGAACCAAAACAAACCTACAGATTTCGCATGTACTCAACTGATTGATGGCAAGGAACAGATCAGTTGCAGTCAGAGCTCAGACAGCGTAAAACTTACGACAACAATTCACGTTCAAAATCATATATTTCCTGTTCTACATCGGGGGTATGCAAACTCTTACGACAACAATTCACGTTCAAAATCATACATTTCCTGTTCTACATCGGGGGTATGCAAACTTACGACAACAATTCACGTTCAAAATCTTGCAATTCCTGTCCTACATCGGGTTCCTGCATACGTCACATTACAAGGAAAAAGAACCCTTTGGGTTAGCACTAAACTATTCTCTAGCATTGTTACAAAATTTCTGAGAAGCTCTGAGATATTATCTTTGGAGAAAAGGATGGACAACCATCTACCAGCTCCCTGACACAAAGAACTCATAGTCTGGATGCCTGTTCGCAGATCTTTGATCGCGCTTATGAACTACTGCCCTTGCCATCACAGATGCAGTTTGCTTGAGTGTCCTCAGCCTCTCCTTCAGTAAGTCGGAGGTGTTGGAAAAATGTGCTTCTTCAGACTGGAAAACCTTCAGATCCATATCCCTTGGCTGAAACCAATTCTCCCCCTGCATTCAGAGCATGCATGCACATTGAGAAACAATGTTGTGGGAACTTACACAAACCATAGCAGACATTGAGAAACAATGTTGTGGGAACTAACACAAACCATAGCAGGTAACACAGTATCACAAATGTGTTTTTCTTTAACAAATAGAAGTACAAATTACTTTGTTAAGCACTGAACTACTCTTCTGTCATGGAAATTTTGGTTCGTTTCTCAAGTTTGAACTAGAACTGCAAATATGGCGATGGATCTTCCTCCAGCCAACCTTACAGATTTCCGGGCAAGTTCCTCCTTGAACTAAAATTTTCTTGTTTGAAGACTTACCATGTATAGAAGATTAATGTCAGATTTATAGTCATCATAATCAAGACCAACCAAAAAGGAGTCTATCTAAATTTTCATGCCAACAGAAAAGCGCAACAATTGAGCAAGGTTTTCCTGGATAGCCAACAATACAGTTAAAACATGGCCAGAGGACAAACAAGGGCTAGAATGCACATTGCAGGTGAAGAATTAGATAGCCAACAATACAGTTAAAGCATAAAAAATAAAATATTTAAAAAAAATTCCTGGATCCACTAGCTTCGCTATCCATAGTAGTTTCTTCATCTCGCTCTCCCCGGCCTTTCTGTTCTACGGTTAGTACAATTTTCAGATGAGCTCTCTGCTTCTCATAGAACCCAGAGGGTAAAAGAGCATCTACTCTTTCCCATTTTCAAAATCGCTTACCATTCTCTCTTCTTTTTTATTCATCACATTCTTTCACCAATTCAACCTCCTCATTTGTCTTGGTCTCTGCACCTTACTATTCTTAATCCAAAAAAATCAAATGCTTAATTGTTTTTTACCTCTTCAACATCCCAGTTTTGTCATCATCTCTGCACCTAAACATAGTCAAAGAAAAGCAAGTGCTTATACTCTTCGGCTAGAATTTTTACGTTTTTGTTTGAATACTAAACCACAGGCAAACAATTAAGTCACTACTATATATTCTATTAGATCCTTATTGGTATTGCATGTGATATATGCATTGCAGAAGCTATCGATGGTTCTATTGATGATAAAGTTATTGCTTCTTTGACAAGATCAATATTTTATGTGTTTGATGATAACATGGTGGATATGCAGATGCTAATTCAATACCTAAATTTTCTACATTGTGTGCATCCCTTCACAACAAGAGCAGTTGCCGAAAATAGCAGCAGGAACAAATGAATAAAATAACTTAAAACTACATTGCCTAATGAGGGCAGCTTGAAGCCTCCTCGATCATGGCTAAATATAACAAAGCACAATTAAGCATTGTGCAGTTTGAGGCAGGCCTTCAACCTGACATTTAGTGCAAAAGAATTACCTTAATCTCATTCTGATCTAAAAAGAGTCTTTTGAGTTCAAAACAATAATATTATAAAAAATGCAGAGCAGACGTGCCTTATCCCTGTACGTCTGCAGACCTACAACTGGAGAAACTACATTTGTGAAAGCACCTGGAACACATGCCGAGGCACTTTGATGGACAAAATGACCCAGAGAGTGATATGTCAAAAAAGCAGCATGAAAATTTCCATCAGGTATACGGTATATAGGATACCATGCCACACAGTACCTGAAAGGAAAAAAATACAACTTAATTGTAGAAATCAGTCTGAAAAAGGTTCGATCATTTTGAACCAAAAGAGTATTATAATAAACAAACCAAGAAGCAGGATGAAGGTCATGCAGGTTAAGAGATTCCAGCTTCAAGGGATCTCCAAATATGCGGCTAGCAGGTAATTTATCTCCAGATACCAGTTCCTTGATCCTGAATTAAAAGAGAAAAATAGATATGAGACAAGAAAGGTTAGGCACCTCTAACACAGCTGGTGCAAAACTAGACATGGGATCAACAGGAACAGATCCTGCAGGCAACCTACATGTAAGCCATCTGAACATCGAAAAGATGTTGGAAATTATCAAACTTACAGGTGAATCCACGAAAAGGAGAGACGTGGTGTGCTTTTCCATTTACTTATATCAGTGAATGAATTACACACATTTCTTTTCAGTAAACTGCTGAATCCTTGGTTCCATTTCCAACATGAGTCGTGGATTATATAGTCATGATATAAACTAATTTTCAGGGTAAAAAAGCAGTATAGAAATCTCAGATAATCTCACAATCGTAACTTTGTAAGTACGCATTTAATAGAACCAGATGAGACAGTAACGAAACATCAGACTCTTTTCTCAGTGTTTAGGATATGAAAAAAAATGTAATTCACATTTCCATGGTGAGTCAGGCATCATGAAACAGTTGCATGGTTAGTAAATTTTCTAGTTATCAGCCAAACTTCATGAGGACTTTTATGCACCTTCTTACTGGTATCAAATCTCATCTTCCATGCATTCTGAGCATAAAATAGATGTGATATACCTACTTAGAAAACAACAAGATCAACTGAGAAACACAACTAATGTGTTCCCTATAAACAAGATCAGTTGAATAACACTTTTAACAAGGGACCTGAAAGAACCTTCAATAAAGACCAACATACAATATGCATTGCAGCAGATACATCAGAAAATACTCTCAAGGATAAAAGACATCCATGTTAGAACGCATCAAGTCCTAAAAAGTTTGTGCTCCATTTACTGATTCAATATTTGAATATTTTGAAAAATGATCAAGTTAAAGCAACAATATGGGACTCAATATATCTCTACAACAAAAAGATTAACCAGTTATTAAATAGTTCAAAACCAATTTCAGAATGTCCCACATATGATCTACCTCGACTGGAAAACAAAGCTTTGCTGGAGAAATAATAGGAACATAGGATGATCAGTTTTCTGATTCTATTTTTGAGATCCTAAAGCATGATGTTGAACAAGTCAGAGATGGTAGGGAGGACTGGTGGAAGCATATTAGCAATGCTAACAAAGAAAAAAAGAAGTTCCAAGGAAACATTCAAAAAACAAATACTCTATAAGAAAATTGATCAATTATCGGATGATAAAGAAAATGTTATAAAATATAATGACTTACTTCTCATACAATGGACGTCGCCAAGGAGGCTGGTCAGATTCAAAATATTCAAAAAAAAGCTCCGCATGATCCATGTGAATGCTTTTATCAAAAATCTCCTCTGCAGCAGAAGAAGATGATTCTGATAAGCAAGCATTTGTGTCCTTAAGAGGTTGGGGCAATAACATCGATAAGTTTGGGAAAGAGCCCAAATATTTTTCTCTCTTATCTTCCTCACAAGTTATGGCTGCCTCTCCACTCCTATTGCAATATCTGGCACTCCTGGATTTTCCAAATAATTGAACAGCAGAAAGATAAGGTACAAAATATGCAGTAAACTCAGAACGACCATTATGTTGCCTTCTAGAATTGCAATAATCGTGTGCCCTCACTTCCAACCCAAAGCAGCCAGGCTCTTCATACCACTGCCAAATGCTCTTCAAGGCAATGTTAGGAATCTGATGGCAGCAAAAAGAGTTACTTATTAGTTGTTCTGGAAAACAACTGCTGCAGCTTCTGCTATGTTGTGTTTTTCTAATGACTGGGGAGGCAAGAAAAAGAAATTTCTCGAAGTTAGCACATGGATGGCCAGTTACCAATTGAACAACTTCTGCCATGGTCTGCAATTTGTAGGCATCATTAACAGCTTGTATTATCTTGTCTAATTCAGTTGCAACACTGTTAAATTCCTTGTCTTTCATTTCATTTGTTTGGAAATTGATCTCAGCATGTAGATCAGAAGCTTCAGCTGAACGAGGGCAGCTGCTCAACTTTTTGATCAATTTACTAGCTCCAGGATTTGAGAATTCTCCATCCTTGGAAACAGAAAATAATTTATTCAAACTTGAACCCACCAGTCCAGCAGCATTTGGATATGATCGATCAGTAACTGCATCATCTGTGATAGAAACCTTTTCAAAATAGCCCGTATCTGAATATACGGAATCTTTTCTCCCCACTGGGACCCACTTCTGTATCAGATTCCCAGCACTGCTTGACAGGCTGCTAGATTCTCGGTACTTTGTAGGACCAACTTCGGAATTACCTTCAATCTGCCTGTGACCAATCTGATTCATTGTTGTTGGAGTTTGGCCAATTTCACTATGAACAGCTGGCAAATCCATAAGACAAACTCCATTGCATGTGTTTCTTGGTGGCGTTGCCTCCTCAGTATGCACATGTATTTCCTTCTCTGGTTCTGGTTGACAACAGTCATCAGTTGGCTTAGCCAAACATCTTTGGGAAAAGCTATTGTTAGGTGATCTAAATCCTATGTTGTGGTCTTTATCAACAGCTGTGAATGATGAATTCCGCAAACATTCTTTTTGCTGAACATGATGCTTCAAGGCTTTGTCCATGTCACTCTTACCAGTATGAGATCCACTAATATTACATTGATTTGCATGTTTCACAGCTGAACTAGATTTGCTTTTCACACTATTTACTGAGTTTCCAACTGCGGATTTAGATAGAGGTTGAACTGTCTTAGGACAATTGGGTGCTGCTTGGCTTGCCTCTATCTTAAATGTATCATCTGGACAAGGGTATCTGTAGGTTGTTCCACACTGTTTTTGCTTTAGCCCAACAAATTTATCAAGTTTCATTTTTGTCTTGGTTTCCTTGGATGAAACCTCACCATGAGAAGACAAAACACTGACATTATTAGGTTTAGAAGCACCTTCCTTCCTTTCAATCTTCTGGACCTTCTGCCATATGGAGTAATTATTATCTTTACCTGTGTGACCATGATTGTTTGCAGTAAAATATCTGTTTGTTCCATTTAAACTACCATTGCCAATAATTCTTCTAGACCTTCTACCTCGCTTTCCAGCTATAACAGGATGGAAGTCATCGTTGCTGCCAGCCTGACTGCTGCAATCAGCTCTTTCAGTACTGCTGCAAGCATCAAGGACATCATTTGACAAATAGGCATCACTGGTGTAACAGTTATTTGATATGTCAGTATTCACACTGCATAAATTTACAGTTGTGTGAGATGAGGATTCATGTTGTATAAGCTCTTTAGAAGGTGAAAATATTTCACCTTCTGAAGAACTCGGTTGACTTTCATCCTTGACAGGTGACCGCATCACAGTGTCATCACTAGAGTTCTCGCCAATATCACTGTTAGAACCATCAAAAGATGAATCAACCACGGAATTATAATTATCCATAGAGATGCTTGAGAAATTATCATGAAAAATGTTGTTTTCTTTAAAAACTACTTCTCTAGTGCTCCCATCAGATGAAAATGGAACCATTACTGCATCTTTAATTGTGCTTGATAAATCCAGATAAGCTGTAGTGTTGCATCCGAATTCATCACGAGCAAATATCTGAGGTGAAGAAACTGGTTCAAAATCATCCATCTCATCGCTGTAAGATGTACATGACAATAAGGTTGTTGAACAGTCAACGAATTCAACATTATTTGCGCTATCATCCTTCTCTACAGTGACATCAGTAAACAACAAATCAGGGGGTGTTGCCTCATCTGACAATTTAATATCTAAAACATGTTTGGCTGAAGAAGATAGACTACTGCTTTCAGATGTTTCAAAAGCAGATGCGCTATAGTTGTTTTCCTCACATTGAACATTTGAGTCAGTCAAAACCTTTCTGGATGCAATTCGTTTATACTGCTTTCCTTTTTTTTTCCCTTTCTTTCGTGAATTTCTTTTAACTCTCTTGTCCACCTTTGGAATAGCACTTACCAAAAAATCTGACCCAACTGCACTTGGGTTATCACAAACTGAACCAGAAGAATTACCTGATATTAAGCAGCCAGGAAGAGAAGTAGTTGAACTGTCTAGAGAATTGGATAATTTGTTCCTGCTGTCAGAGTGGTCCAAACTACTTGCCTCACTGGAAATGCAAGATGAATTTAACATCACAGGATCCTTGAACACATTTGGAGATGGTGACTTGGAATTTTCCATATTAGAGGAAGATATAGATTCAAAATTCTTTCTGCAAAATTCGCCTGGCAAGAGTGAAGGAAAAGGTGACACTTTCCTGGATGCATGAGTGTCAAGGAAAATGATTGTCAATAAAGGCAACCTGACAAGCAATTGTAGAATAGAATCAATAGATGTCACATTCTGAATTAAGAAGGAAAATGCAAAAATAATATATACAGAGAGATAAACATAAAAGGTCAAAATATAGCACAGGCCATTTTCATCTGTTAAAAACAGAAATTACCGAGGTAGGAAGTATAGGATTAGCTACAAAGAGCAAACCAAATACTAATTACATAAGGAACTAGACAGCATTTGAAACATCTGAAAAAGAATTCTAAAAGAACAGAATTACAGGAGAGCAAATGTAGTAAGTTTGTCAACCCAAGTCAACAAGCAACTTATGCACCTGCTGCCTTTTTAGTTTCAGATACAAAGCAAGTGCCTGGTCCTTTAAAAAATTCCTACACCTTCCTAGAGATAACATATCTATGATTTATTGGTTATTATGAATGCATGGTACTGTATTTGACATTTAAAATCTTCAACAAGTGTCTTCGACTTTTCTTTTTAAGGACTCCTTAGTCTTTTAGTCTTTAACATGAGTAAAAGGAATCCTATGACTGGGGAGAGTCCAGCAGAGAGTGAGTGACAGAGGGAGAGAGAGATTTCCTTTCTCTTGTAGATGCCTCATGCAGATAATTCGTCAGCATGGGCCCCGTGCCAATCAGCATAAACTAAATGCATTGCATAAGTGTTATTGGAAAACCTCCACCAACACATCATCCAACATTGACAGCTTATATGCACGAGATGTGCTGATAAATACACCTCAATATGTCAATATGGTAATCCTTAACTGAAATGCAAGCATTTATATCATTTCTTTGTACTTTCTTTGAGTCCTCCGGCCGCATACCAAATCCTTTAAACTATGCCTCTCAAGAGGTGATTATCCAGGAAAGACTAGCTATCTAGGGGTTTAAAACATTTTGAATCAAGGAAATTCTTTGTTCCTTCTTGATTGTAATATGACTTTGAATCACGAGGAAAGTTGAGTCCATAGAGATCCACCTAATGCAAGAACGAAATTAATAATTTTATCTAAAATGTAGAAAAATAAATGCCACCTAAACTTTATAAAAAAATGACAAAGCCTTGGTATGACCACTTTGAAAATATCAATAAGAACCAAACACAAATGGGAGAACAAAATTCAACAGAGATCAGAGTGGTCCATCTAACAAAGTCAACATGGCTAAGGTGGTAAATAATGTGATGACAAAAACAAAATTACCTCTGTTCAGAACTCCTAAAGCCGAATTCCTGAAGAAAAATGTGTGCATGCATCGTCAGAAACCTATGACATGAAAAGAAGCATTTAAAACAATATTCCACACAACAAAATCACCAACCTTTGAACAAGACTGGTAATTGTTCTGATCTATTGATCTCCTAAAGGTACTACGGATTCTCCTGTCTGCAGACTTTTCGAAGATACTGTCTGTCCTCCCATGTTCATAGGGCATTGTCAATCGTGCCTGTCTATACACAAAGAGATTAACTAAATGCACATAAACCAATAAGCAATGTCACTTAACTAAAACAGCAGAAAAGGTCAACAAAATATCTAAGATCACAAGCACACAATGGAGGAAAATTGAAAAGTTAAATATTCTTTAAGAAAATGTGTATGTTAGGCTATTTGTCAAATTAAGGAGCTCTCTAAGAAGTTTTAAATTTGAAAAAGAGCAGTACATGATTCTTTTGTATCAAGCAAATTAGATTTTGCCTGCATAGTGCTTGCTTTTGTATTAACTGCTTCTTCATCAATGCTAAAAAAAGACTAGATAATTTTAAAAAATCCAAGAAATTGGGTAGTATCATTAGTGAGTGCAATTTTATTCAACTATTGCAATGACAGCTTTAGGGTTTTCATTTCAAAATTTTGGCAGCAGAGAATTAAATTTTTGAAAAATAAAATCAATTAACCAATAGTTACTTGAATTTGTGTTCCTTCTGTATTTTGATTGCGATTTAACAGCTTGAACCTCCAAAGTGAACCTACATACTTGGGGATGTCATGCAAACAAGAATATTATTAACATGATAGGACAAAATGAAAAATTCAAATGTAAAAACTATTTTGGGAAAAAGATTAGTAAAAAAAGTGAAAACAATTCTATAGCCTACGAAGTAGGTTTTTACTGACTATAGGAACATATTGATGCAGTAGACAAGACATATTTGTATATGGTTTAGTAAGTTCTAAATAATATTGCTACAACTGGAGAGGTTTCCAATGCACTGCATTTCAATTGACAAAACAAACTTCTTCATGGTATCCCAAATCAAAGTGCATGAAAGATAATTCTTCCATAAAACAGCCAACAATTTGCTCAAATATACAGAAGATAAGGCCATTATGATTGTTATCATTAAGTCTCCTAAAAAATACATGTAAATTATCACTAAATTACTAATAAAAGAAGATGCCATGAGATTCGGAAAAGTTGTTTACTCTTCAATGAAACCAATATTTCCAGTTAACCCATGCAAAAATTCTCATGATAATCTCATGCTATTATCACTAAATTTCTAATAAAAGAAGATGCCACAAGACTTGAAAAAGTTGTTTACTCTTCAATGAAACCAATATTTCCAGTTAACCCATGCAAAAATTTCTCATGATAATCTCGTGCTAAATGCCACAAGGCACATACCCTTCTCATTGACATGCAATAAACAGACAACGATCAACCAAACATGCATACAAATAAAGATGCACCATCAGCATGAATCATAAACCCTGGAAACAGCTTATCATGCCCATTCTCAAGCTACATAGGATGTCATGGAAAGGAAAATTAAGCTACATTTTACAATAATAAGTTCTTTCTTTTTCAGGTAAAATCACAGTCCATCAAGACCGCAATTTAGCATGAACTTCATTTTAGGGATAAAAAAAAATGACCCAAAAATGAAAGTAGTACTGAAAGCAAGGCCTAGAGGCAAAGACAAAAAAGCAGCTCAACTCATCCATAATTTTCCAAGGTTAAACGATGTTACTGCCATTATCATACTCCAAGATCAGAAGGATACTGAGTAATATTGACTTATGATGAAATGCCAGGATATGTATACTCAAATTCCATATGTACAACTCTCCACGTTGAACCATTCAGATTATCACCATATAATATAAAATTATAGAAAGAATAAACCGGTTAACAAATAATCAGTAATGAGTGTACTGGTCTGATCGGTCAATTGTGTAGATCTTAAAAAGGTAGAAAATATTCAATTGCAATTCAACTGTTAAAAGCAAGGTTTGGTCACTAGCACAACCCACCCTGATCCTAGTCCTGTGAAATACTTGCCTATGCCATTCCACAAGGCTGTGCTAGCCAACACATTAAATTCTCCAAAATTATATCACCTTTGCATGCCATTCCAAAGCCCTGTTGGCACTATGTTTATTGATTTGCATAATGATCTTTGATCAAAATTCATGTTTCATCTATTCATAAATAAGTGTTCCACAACAAAGGAAAACCAGCCAAACCCTGGTAAGGCAGCAAAATCAAGTCCAAACTGTCATCTATATTTTAAGATGCATTGTAGAAAATTATACAGGAGAATAATTGGTCAACATGAGATGAGCTCTTAGGCCAAAAATACAGGGAAATAGAGCATGAAAGAACGGAAATACGAAGCCTGTAGCTGAAAATGAAGACCTAAGTTCCAAAAATCGAATTCCCGACCAAGAACCCATCGGTCACAGTCTTCTTAACAAAGTTCATACATCAGAGGGAAGAAGATGAGGGAAACCAAAATGAAATTCCTGACGTGCAACGATGTTCTTTAAGGAAAGATAGCCAACTATGCCATTAAATACCACACGAAAAACAAACTATTTACACCGCAGAATGAAACCTCCAGAGAACTATCTTCCCCAATTTTTACATACACATGAATTCGGAAAGAACGTCGAATGAAAGAAATCTCAACATTTCAGAAATCTTCGATTGGGAGGAGCGTGCACAACGTCGGAAGCATGACAACAAACTGCAAACTCTAACCACAAAACCCCCACTGCCCTATAGCCAAAGGCACCCGTACCGGCAGAGAAGAAAAAGAAGGCTAAATCGTCCCTCCCACGTAATCACCTCAATCAAAAATCCAGGATTGACGCATAAATTTGAAGAACAGGCAACAGAATTGAAAAGATCGAGATGACTACATACAAAAGAGCGCGACAACAACCACCGACCGGAGAGACTCCACCGCAAGCATGCGCGCGCCGGGCAAAGCAACGCGGCGGATACAAATCATTTCCGATCGAACAAGAAAGAGACGGAAAGGGGAAGATCAAAAAGGAAAGGGATTAGGAAAGGGAAGAAAGACAGCCTGTTTTACTAAGAACAGTAACAATCGGAATCATCGCACTCGATATAGGAGAAGCATTTACTAACTTTAGAGCACGGGAACGCCAGAATCCTCGGGCTGGAGGGAACCCAAATTAATCCAAGACAGAGAGGAGAGGGGACGAGACCTGCGAGCGCATCCGACAGCAGCAATAGCAACGGCGGCGCCGGACTTCCTTTCTCCACCCGTCTCCTCTCTCCTTCCTCCTTCGGCGATCGTGGAAGAGAGAGAGGTATTCCTCCTCTGGTGCGTGCAGTGTCGTTTTCGCGACTGCGAACTCGAAGCGCAGAGAAGAGGGCGACTGGCTGCGGGTTGGTGAGAGAATAGAAGATATTATCACGAGATAGGGGGAAGAGAAACCGGGGGGACGAGACCGAGGGTGCCCGAGGCCGTTAACCACTACCACTGTTGTCATTGGAAGGCGCCGGGGCCCATAGCTGGGCCACGCGACCCACCGGATTACGATCTGGGTATGGGAGTACAGGAAAGAACTCTGGGACGGGGGAGCGCAGGGGAAGCGTGGGGGGAGTGAACGGTCGGATCTCAATGCACAGGTTGATGCGTGCAAGGAAACTGCTTCCTTTCCGTTGCGGCTCCCTCCACCAAGCTATAAGCCCCCCCCGCAAATGCCGCGTCATGTCATGAGTCACCCAATCGACCCGTTCGATGTGCGCTGCATCGGCGAGGCGCGACAACAAATTGACATGTATTAATCCTAACCGGTTTAATTTAACCCAAATCAAACCGGATAATCACGGGTTCGAGTGTAGGAGTACTTCTTTTTTGCATGACGGGAAATGAATCAATCACTCGATAGGATGAAGGAGGTGCGATTTCGGGGAAAGGGGGACGATACGAGCGATGCGGGATCACACGAGAGACGCCTCCTCACAAGTTGCGTGAATCGGCCTCTGTTATGATACGAGATGAGAAAAAGAATGCTGGAATGAACCACAAGATCGGCGCCCTTTTGATAGGAGAAGAAGAATATAACAATATTCTTCCCCTCAAAACAGAGAAGAAGCTCGTCCACGATCCCCTCCGCAACCAAGATTCGTCCCCTCATCTCTCACTCTCTCTCTCTCTCTCTCTCTCTCTCTCTCTCTCTCTCTATATATATATATATATATATATATATATATATATAAGCTATAAGAAAACCTCAAGAAATCAAGAAAAGAAGTGCAGTCAAATCAAACACATTAATTAATCATGGCTGCCTTCGCCTCTAAATCTCACGCACTCTGCGTTCTGCTGCTTCTCTCACTTTCTGCCGCCGCCTTGGGCCACTCGAGAAAGGTCCTGTACGAGGAGGAGGAGGAACAGGAACACAAGTTTGATCTCGTCAGCCGGCTTCGCGGGCAGCCGGAGGTGAGCTTCCGGCAGTACTCAGGGTACGTGACGGTCCACGAGTCCCACGGCAGAGCGCTATTCTACTGGTTCTTCGAAGCCACCCAAGACGTGGAGAAGAAGCCCCTCCTTCTGTGGCTTAATGGAGGTGGGGGAGTCTCTTCTGCCGACTGACGGCGTCGTTGCTCGGACTGATATCGATCGCTGTGTTATGTTCGGGGCCTGGTTGTTCTTCCATCGGCAATGGAGCGGTGGAGGAGCTCGGCCCGTTCTTGATGCAGAAGGGTGTTCCGGAGCTCGGGCTCAATGAATATTCCTGGAACAAAGGTAAGCAAGCATGCAACAATAGTTCCTAGTAAGCATGCAGAGATTCAAAGTTTGTTCTTTTCTGTGACACTGCTCCAAATCACCGAGGCAAATTTGCTGTTCCTCGAGTCTCCGTTTGGCGTTGGATTTTCCTACACGAACACAAGTTCCGACTGCGATGGCGCCGGCGACGAACTCACTGGTAAGTCCGACGATTAACCCTGTCATTGATGACAATATAATCTTTGATCTTCTCACTGCGTTACGGCAATCGACGCGCATGCTTTTCTCTTGAACTGGTTTAAGAGGTTCCCGCAGTTCAAGTCCCACGAGTTCTACATCGCTGGAGAAAGCTACGCAGGTAGAAAACCGCACCATATTCTTCTCCCCCTACCGCCGATCCTAACGGTAAAGCTACGCAGGAAGAAAACCGCACCATCTTCTTCTCCTCCTACCGTCGATCCTAACGGTTTTGTTTGCTCAGGGCATTATGTTCCACGACTCGCTGAGAACATCTACGAAGCAAACAAGAAGAGCAAGGAGGAAGATCGCATAAACCTTAAAGGATTCATGGTACGAACAATATCTGTATGTGAATCTCGTGTTGCTGGCACTCGAAACCTTTGCAGATGATGGGGTTTTCTTGTCTCGGTTCAGATCGGGAATGCGGCAATCGATGAGGAAACGGATTCTGCCGGCTTGGTGGATTACGCATGGTCTCATGCAGTTATCTCTGATGGCCTCTATCATCGCATAAGCAGACTTGCAACTTGAGCGTACCAGAAGATGATTCCTGTGATCTTTTGCTGGATATGCTATACGGAAACTACGGTGGCAACGACATCTACAACATATATGCGCCTGTATACATGTATAAATACTGAAAACATCACAACGAGGAATATAGCTTCTTCTACAATTTCTATCTTCTATCTTATTTGTTTAATTCTTTACACTGCTGCTTGCCTAGAGCAAACTCTCTTATCGTTGTCCGACGCTGACGCTGCCACTTTGCACTGGTACCTCTAGCATTGTAGACACTAGTGCTTCTTCCCTCACCTATTGCTCCATCCTCACCATCATCCTCACTAGCAACAGCAAACCACCTCTCTGCCATCGCTATCGATCCGATCTCCCGATCTGATTCCGCTAAGACTCTACTGTCGACCACCGAATCACTACTGGTAGATCTCCCCATCGTAGCCCTTGTTCATGCCAAAATTCCCCTATTTCATTGGTATGCTTGGTGGCCTGTTCTTTTCGTTGTCAACCAAATCGTAGCTTCATTCACCGCTGCCAGTGTTCTCCTACTAGAGACGACGGATTTTCTTTAAGGCCGCCTATCATTTCCTCTGCCTCGGCGCACCTCTAGCAACATTAATCTGAAGCAACAAGGGCATTCTTCCTCTCGGTGGCACATCTTCTACTTCTTCCTTTCTACGTTGGTTCTTACAAACCGACGGAGCAATGACCAATTCTTTATAGTCATCCTCACTCTAGTAGTTACCTCCCATCGCAGCCATGCGACCGCTTCCTGGTCGGAGTCCACCGCCTCCCCTTAGGTCGCAGTCGCAATCGCTCGACCATCTCTCCTCGCGGTGATGTCTTCGCCCCTCAATCGCATCACAACAGCTTCATCTCAAACAATACTTGGTGAACAATGATTGTCTTCTTCTCTCCGCCACCGCAACCATTCGCTGCAGCCTAACGCTGTTAGGATCAGGGTCAGCACTAAGAGGGGGGGTGAATTAGTGTAGCGGTAAAAACTACAACGGTTTAAAAACTTCTGTACGATAAAATCATTTCCGACGTAAAACCATTTTCGGAAACTTAACTTAAATTGAAAGCATACAGAAGTGTAGTTGATGTAAAGTGATGGAGGTAGTTTGCAGTTAAGATAAATAGTAGAAAGTAAATGTAAACCGAGATTTAGAGTGGTTCGGTCAATCTTGACCTATATCCACTTTTGGCTTCCTCCTCCGACAAGGTCATCGGCGTTTACTAAAGGCCTTCCTTCAATAGGCGAAGGCCAATCACCTTTTACACCCCTCTTCTCCTTTTACCAGGTTTAGGAGATAACCCTTACAAGCACTCACTTACTCCTCTCTTAAACTAGTCTAACACTTAAAAGAGGGAGAGGAGATCATACAAGATTTTAGCAGCGTTTCTTTCTTTTTAGACTCTCTGTGCTTGTGTGCTTTAACCAGGGATGAGAGGGGTATTTATAGGCTTCAAGTTAATTCAAACTTAGAGCCTAAAATTTTTCCATCCCGGTTCCCCGGGCACGGGTGGTACCACCACCTGCACTGGGCAATACCACCGTCCAGTGTCAGTCTGCCCTAGGCGGTACCACTGCCCAGGTCTGGCGATACCACCACCTCGAGGGTAGTGCTAGGCGGTACCATCGCCTAGACTAGTGGTACCACCGCTTGGCACCCTGCCAAGGGTGGTACAACTGCCCAGACTAGCGGTACCACCACCTGACACAGTCTCGAAGATTGTGCCACAATGGTGAGACTTCTTGGGGCACTGTTTGGGCATCTTATTAGGCCCAACACAGTTCTTACATGGGCCTAGCTAGCCCCTAATTAGGTTGGTCCAAATCCAAGCCTAATTACGTGCTAACTATAAAATCCTAAGACATTTGCTAAGCTAAACAAGCCCCTATGTCTATTCTTCCGATGAGCTTCCAGTGATCTTCCGACGATCTCTCGGCAATGTTCCGGTAGACTCCCGGCGGGCTCCTGGACTTCATGACGATCTTCTTGGAGAGTTCCGATAAGCTTCTCTGGCAAGCTCCGAGACTTTTCGATTGGTTCTACCAGAACTTTCGACGAACATCCGGACTTTCGACGAACTCTCGAACTCCCAACGTGATCGCATCCTTGACTCCGAGACTTCATTTTGCTCCATGCCTTGCCATCGTAGTTAACCCTACACATGTAAAACATACTTCGATCTAGACAATTAATACTAAGTATTAATCAAGTTGTCCGGTATGTCATTGGTTCCTTGATGCTTCGTCCGATTCTTCGGTGCATCGTCCTTTCCTACGACCTATTGCCCAATTGGCCAGTTGACTCCGTAACTCCGATATCCTTGGCGCAATGTCCACTCTTCTTGGCCCGATGCCCGAATCTACGGCCCAAAGCCTTATGTCGATAAGTCGACCGATCCATTGACCCGACGTCCAATCTTTTGATATGTTCCTCCGGCCCAATATGATTTTTCCTACTTTAATTGTCTCATCCTAATCAAAGCATCCTGCGTCACTCAAAATGCAGATTAAAACAGAAACACATATCAATTGGTTTTATCATCAAAATACGAGATTTAACAATCTCTCCCTTTTTGATAATAACAATCAATCGACGACGGAGTTTACCTTAACTCCCGGAGTTTAAACAAATGCCCCCTATCAATATGGCATATTGATAGAAACTCTTCGATTCAAAAATCCAAGCAACATGTCATGATCAAATCATGCACGACATCAACATACTTCTCCCCCTTTGTCATCAACAAAAAGGAGAAGTTCCAACTCTTATGTGTTTAGAGATATAGATTCAAATCATTGCATGAAAAACATAGTGTCAAATTTTATCATCATACAATTTGTAAGCTAGAAAATTTAGCAAGTTCTATAATATACAAGTTAGCCAATTTTACAACATTTTAGAACATACAAGCTAGCAGTTTTGAGATATTCAAGAAAGCAACTCTTGCTTCTTGAAATATGCAAGTTGCAAGCTACCAAATTTTTTCTTCCTTTGCAATGTTTGAGCTCGCAATTTTGCTTCCATTGCAAAGTGCAAGTCTAGCATGTTTAGCATCTTGAGATAGGCAAGATAACACATTTTTATATTTTCTTGAGATTTCAAGCTAGCAATTATCGGTGATGTTCAAGATAACAATTTCTTCTTTTTTGAGAAGTACAATTTTTGCTTTCTTCTTGAATTATACAAGCTAGCTAGTTTGCCTCTTTTCATGATGTCCACGCTAGAAATTCTTGCTCCCCCTTTGTCATGGTCAAAAAGAAGGGAAGACCCATTACATCAATTTTCAAATTATGATAAAGGTAAGTAATTGTTCTTATTTGTGCATCATTATATTTTTAAATTAGAACATGCATAATTTTAAATCCTTACATTTTATTTTTTATGCACGATTCCGAAAAATAAATCATTCATCATAATGAGTATATCGATACTAAAACATTAAGCATTTATCAACATTTTGATTATGATACACATCATATGTATCACACATATCATCACAATAAAAGCATAAGTGTTGCATGCATCATTCCAAAACATTTCACGCCGTACAAGTCATAAATACAAGGAAATCATGTCATGAAAGATAAGACTACGTGAATACCAAAAGATATGATTCATAAATAAATTTTTTAATAAAATGCAAGAAGTCATGGTTACGATCTTGATTTACATAAAGTTTCAAAACATAATTATCAAGATCATGGTTAGTTTTATAGATCTCCTCTTTAGTAAATGGTAAAAGGAAACATAGGAGTACAAAGAAGATATCATGATTAAAAAAAATCTCAAATAATTTCAAGAGATTAAGATCATGATTTGAATGAAATCATTCAAATTTAAATCATCAAATCAAAATTATTTTCAAGAGATTCATACAAATCAATAAGATAGAAAAAAAGAATTTTCAAGAACGATGCTTTTCTCTTTTTAGTTGTTTAAATTCATTGATTTATTTCATTTATGCCAAATAAAAATTGTGCATTAACGTTTAGGATCGAAAAATGAATTTTATCATAAAAACCATCAAGTCCAATAACTCACAAAAATCATCATATATAACTTTAAAATCTCATACATAAAATCGTCAAATCATGGTATCAAAACTTCAATATTTTCATTATAACATCAAGCAAGGTTTCATTGAACATAATTTTGAATGATTCTTATAGATATCTAAAACTTCTTTAGTTTTAATTTATATAATTGACTTTATATTAGCATGCTTAAATTTTTGTTCTTATGTCAAAACCATACATCATGTTTAAAAGAAAAATAAAGACAAGGTTCATAAAAAAATATCAAGCCTTCCATACAAAAGCTATGCATCGTTATTGAAAAGCAATATGAAAATCATCAAAATACATATTCTTGCTTCTCAAGCACATACATAAGATTAATCTTACTAGGTGTACAATTATTAGATTTATATCTAACATTTTATTGCATTAACATAAAACATGTAATTTTTATTATCATTTTCAAAATTACGAGCATGATCATATTTTTGTATTTTCTTTTTTAAACATTTAATTTTCAAAAAAATTAATTCAAAACTAAATTATAAAAAAAATGCATTATGAAAAGCATCATGTAATTTCGAAGTAAATTAGGGAGATTTCAATTACCTCATCTTTGAAAGCGGTTAAGGCGTAGTTTGCTACCTCGCCTTTCTTGATTTTCTTCTCATCTTCGGAGGAGCTCGATTCATCCCAATTTTTATTCTTCTTCTTGTGTTCAAAGCAAATAGTTCCATTTTTTTTATTCTTTAACTTTTGTTTAATGAACCTTTTAAATTTCATTTGTAGTTCAAGTTCACCATCACTTGAGCTTATGCTCGAGTGGTTTTCAATTGTTCTATGTCCCAAATCCTTCCTATTCTTTGGAAGGTTGTTCTCAAGTTCTCTTTTTGTCATATTATTTATTTCATAGGTCATTAAAGACCCAATTAGTTCTTCGAGTGGAAGATTGTTTAGGTTTTTAGCTTCTTATATGGTC